TCTTTTCCTAAGAGCTAGTAGGGTTGTTAATATGAGCTCTAAAGGTTTTAGTTAGAGATAGACAGTTATTATAAGCTTGTTGATGCTTGAACTATTTCCTCTATACAGAGCCGGGATAAGTTATAAATACTGGAGATTCCGTCGTATCTAGAAGCAATGATCATGCTTCTCTTAATTAGGTATTCTTATTATAGTCTTAATAAGAAGCGGGGCAGGTATTTCGAAACCTAGTACTAACAACGAGGCTATAGAGAAGCTGAAAAAGGCTACGAATAGAGATCTCTCCTCTACTAAAGCTTAAGTAGCGAACGCATAAGCGTCTATCTAAGATAAAACACTAGACGGTACACAAGCCGTAGATAAAGAGCTCTTAGTTAAGGCCTAGTCTAAACTAGAGTACCTACAGGAAGCGATAAACAATCAAGCTATGCCGGAACCTAAAGATATAGATATAAATAACGCTCCTCTAAGCGTATCTACTAATACTAAGTCTTCAGCTTTATCGCAGTCCGATACTCCTGAGCTAAAATCCTTAGATAAGGATCTCGAACCGCTATTCGCAGACTTTCGGTCTATAACCCTTGATAGTAGCGAGGTCGGAATAGTCGATAGTTTTAGGGGTAAAAGAAGAAGTCGCTTCTTTATCCTCTATAGTGGACCTCGCAGCGCGCCGAGTTATCGGTTCCGGCGTATAAATGGTTTTAGTACTAATAGGGTTTTAAACCTCTTACACTACCGGATAACGCTCGTTAAGGTCAAAAACGATAGAGGAGGAAAGGATTTTCGGTATACTAGCAAGAATATAATAGGGATCACCGGAAGCGTAATTAAATTAATAGATCCGGCGAAGGAAAGAAAGCGGGCCCCTTAAACTTAGATCAAAATCAAGTTGAAAAACATTTACCTAGATAATCAAGAACTGCTTCTTGTGAATATTGATTTTCTAGATAAGTTGTCCAAGCGGCATTCATCTTAGATCCTAAGGTCAGACCTTATCCGGCTCATAGGTCGTGTGATAGCTACGAGCAATATCATTACCGCATAGAAGGGCCAAGAGGCACTACATTTAAGTTATTTAGGTAGAAGAGGCTAGGAACGTTTACCTTCGCTATATCCTCTAGAGGAGTTTGCAGCAGGCAAGCAACGCCGGGAAGCGTCACGTAGTTTGTCTCCTACGCAAGATCCGTTTTCATATATTACTAAAGCTGAGTCTCCGCTGCTTGAAACCCCTAATCAGCCTGGTTATTCCTTTATCAAAATAGAGTCTAACGACGAGCTCTCTACTGTGCCGGAACATGATACGCTCTTTATACAACCTAAAACCACTCGTAGGACAAGTTCTATGAGTGTGGACAAGAGTAAGGGAAAGCAAGCTAGGCGCCAGCCTCAAAGATTCAGCTACAATTCTTACTTCAAAGAGTTGAAAAAGAGGAAAGGCTAGAAGAAAATAAGCGCGGAAGAACGAATCAAGCTAGAAGAGCAATCTTATGCACGATATGAACATTACAAAAAAGCTAGGGAGGAACTAGGAGATAAGGAGGAGAAATCGGACTCGGACTCGGACTAAGAGATCGGAACGTTGTTAATAGTCTAACTCTATGTTGCTGGCAATACGGGAGCCTTTATTCCGCTGCGGGTTTTTGTCTTTTATTTTCTTCAGAATTTCGCTCTACAGTTCTTTGAAATTAAATCAGAATATGATTTCCCTTTATACTTGCTATTAGGAGCTAACAATTTTAATAAAGCCCTCTAATTCGCTTCTAATTGTTGCAGGTAAGCTGCGGGCTAATCTCAAGCTCGCCGTTACTTGACCGCTCTAATACTATTTCAATTTCGTGCCCCTATTTTCTACCGAACGGCTAGGAATAAAGCCTACACGGTGAGATAATTAGATAGAAGTCGTAAATTTTTGGGGTTAATATCGAGCACGATAAGGAGGTTAAGCAAATTGTCTGTTGCTGTGGCTCAAACACCCTCGTCTAGGGTATAGACAAAGTTTCTCTAGTAATTGACCGATAATAATCATTGTAGATTCCTGTTCTTGATCAAATTTGTTTCAATTGCTTAGAAGTAAAGTATGCAACAGTATAGTTCGTCCCGAAATTGGTGCGACTACCTACGCTCTCCGATTAATTCTCCAACCCTAATACTAAGTTATACTAATCTGTATTTGGAGTTTATCTAAAATACCCCTGCTAGTTAGACACGTATTTCGTCTTCCTTTAATTGAACTATATTTTAAATTACGTCTTAGCTTGTAATAATTATATCTAGGACCTCTAAACCTATCTAGAACAAATAGCATCCCTCTGTATATTAGGTAACACAATGCTGTTCCAACCGGAAATGCTGTAGTCTCGATCCGAACTCATAGGCATTAATCTAGCCACACTCTTCGTCTTTTCCCAATCGTCTCGCACCCTCCTTTGTCAAAATCATCATCATCGTACCCCTCAAATTGCTCCAGGCTTAGACAGACAGCCAATAGGGGCTTATGCCCAGCTTCTTGAGTGGCGGCCTCGACAAGACTCTTATACTCAACCTCGTACTTTTCCATCATACGCTCTTGCACATTAGGGTGTTGCCACCGTTCACAAAGGTCTTCCACTAAGATCCAACGTTCCTCCAGTGAGATAGAACCAGACGGCGCTTCAAACAAATCTAGAATAATCTGAGATCTTGAAGATATAAGTCGTTCAAATATAGAATGATTTTTAGGGACTTGCGACTCTTAAAGCCAAGTGCAATAGTGTTAATAAGAGCCTGAAGATCAACGTGCCTCTTTTGGAAAGGTACAGATCTATGCACCAAACTAGCCAGCTTAGCTAAAGCAAATACTGGGAATCTAACACAATAGATTAGTCCAATCATAACTGAGAGGGTTAGGCGGTCCCTTAGGGAAAGGGTAGGGCCCCTATCCTTCGTCTCCATAAATGGGCCACTAGTATGAGCAGGCTCCGGTTGAAAGATAACCGTGATATCTCGTGCGGAGTCGTATAGTAGAGGATATACATTCAACACGTCGAGGTTTCTAGATACTGACGTAGCTACTTCGCTTATTCCACTATACCGAGGTATCTCGACCTGAAGACATACCGAGGTATTATAGAAGGCAATAGCCATCGATTCACGCCGTATCTGCCTGCTGATAGAGAAAAGGTCTAGAGATATGAGGAGGTAGTATTGGAGACCTGCGGCACTGATAGTGAAACTATGCGGCTCTGTTTCAAATCCGGTCCTAGGAATATCTCGCTGTTTCTTTAGTTAAGAAAGATTGTTGGTGATTGATAATTTGATTATCTGGCTTCGAAGCTCGAACGGTAAGTCCAGGAAACGAAATGAAGTTGGTTCGACATTTGGACCCTCTGTAACCAAGTCAGTCAACACGGATTCTTAGCAAGCATACTGATATGACTAACGTAGAGAATTCATACAGCTCATCTTTATTAGAGCAAGGTGCCACTTGGACACAGGGCTGTTATACGTAAAGCGATTTATTTTCTGAAACAATCAAAAGTCTTGAAGGTCCGCGTCAGGTGAGGACAGTTATAAAGGAACATTTCTATTCCGGGGCTATTCTACATATAGTATAGTGTGTCTTGGCATTCGGGTTGGAGATTGTGTACGTGGTCGCACCGGTTTCGGGACGTGCTGTACAGTGGTGTTCCACAAGTATTTGACCTTGGGTACTTCCGCCCCCTAGGGCCTACTTTTAATATTGCGAGGCAGAAACCTCGGAAATTCATTCAAATTCAATAGCTAGTATGCTATCGAAGTTATAAGATACTGTATGAAGGAGGTATAGCCTATAGCCAATAAGGAGATAACGGAATCAGAAGAATCAGTTGATTACTCGATTGATTGACTGACTGATTGAAGAAGAAACTCCTAAACAATAGGGGCAATGTTGAGTTGTCCCCTAGCGGTGTACCCGAGTATTCGAGAGACCTGATTAGTGTCCAGGTCGGTACCGCCAGATACATATGAAATACATACTAAAATGGCAATCTAGCCGACAAAGGAAAGGTCCATGTAATGGATAGACATGTACACTTAGTACTCCACAATCTTGACACACCCCCTCAGCAAAACCTCCATGAGATTTTGCTGCCATTACCGGTCAACCAAGTGCTCAATATCCTCGAGGCGTAGCTGCCTAACGAATCTGGCATGCGATTGGCGAGGTAGGATCTTGGTTAATCCGTCTGCGGGCATGTTCTCGGTTGAAACCCATTCAACTGGCACCCTTCCGGCTTGCACTTCTTGACGCAGCCAATGCTGGTGGATGTCAATATGCCTTAAGCGCGTTCTCAATCGAGGTGCTTCCTTAGTTAACAGCTGCACAGTCTGCTTGTTATCGCATAGGAGAGAGAGAGGGTGACATAGAGAGAAATTGACCTTGTCGAAGATCCGAAGCCACATGCAGAAGGACTTGACGGATTCCGATACGCCCAGTAATTCGGCTTTAGTAGTACTGGTCGTCACCGTTCTCTGCTTAGCGGCCTTCTAGTCAACCGCACCTCTAAAGATTTTGCACAGGTAGCCCGCAGAGCTCTTCCTGTCATGATTATCTCCGTATGAGGCATCACTAGAGAATTCAACACTAGGCAAATCGCTAGTTGTTCGATGGAAGCAGATGGCTCTCCACCGTGTGTGGTATAGGTAAGCAATTACACCGGCAATTGCATGCAAGAGCTCTGGTGAAGGATTCGACAGGAATTGCGCAAGGAAGGCAGTCGCTTTGGCTGCATCTGGCCTAGTAATCGTCGTTGCATACTAGGCAGAGCCCACTTTGGACGATACTCCCATCGTTGTCATCCGAAGCCATGCCCTCGAAGGGTTTCAGTAATGCGATGTTTATTGGAGGAGAATCGAGTCTCTTGCCTTCGGTTAATTGTACCTGTGCGCCATCGCCGTCACGTAGGCATCCTGGCACAGCCAAATAAGGCCTTTCTCCCTATTTCGGAGAATGCGAATGCCCAAAAACCACTGTGCTTCGCCTATTGAGCAAGTTCCCATGCCTTATTAAGGCTCTTGGCTACATCTGCAGCCTCTTTCCTCTGACCTTTGTGGTTCAACATAATCAAATCGTCAACGTAGAAGATTATGATAATCCCATCTCTAACGAACAGGCAGAGATCTTCGTCAACCACGCAGAAACCGAGGGATTTGAGTACTCGAGAGGCTTCTTGCTGCTATAGTCTCGGCGAATTTCGCAGGCCGTACAGCGGTTTCAACAGCTTCCAACATACCCCTCGATGATTTGGGTATAGGCCAGGAGGCAGATCCACATACACATGCTGAGGCAATGTGCTGTTCAAAAATGCGTTTACCGCGTCCCATTGTGACATATCGAGGTCGAAATGTGCTGCTAATACAAAGACGAACCTGGCAGTGCGTACGGCTAACGTAGCCGAGTACTTCTCATCCATTGAAACCTTCTGAAGGTCTCCTCGAACGCAGATTCGGGCTTTATGCTTCGTTAGGAGGCCGTTCTCGTCGAATTTATATGCGAAAACCCATTTCAATGGCAAGATTTGAACCGAACGGTCTCTTGGGCGTTCAGTTTGGACGAATGTGCCCTTTCTCTTCAAGGTCTCTATCTCCAATTCGGCTGCCTTGATAAATCCTGCGTGATGCGGATGGGAAAGCATCTCCTGCCTCCTCTTCGGCTCTGGTAGTAGGTCGTCTCTCATGAGTCGATCTTGGTCTATTAAAGAGGCCATTGCTACTTTGAAGGCTAACAGAAGGCCTTCATGCGAGTCCTCTTCCTGCTCTCCGTATTTGGTCGCAATCATCGCGTCGAAGTGCTTCGGACGCTTTCGAGTACGCTTACCCGTCACGATATTGCTCTCTGTGAGCGTTGCCGAAATATCCCTAGGCGCTATCGATCCTCTCTCTCGATAACCTTCTAGTGGATCCGTCTGAATAGCCTCATACAGTTCGCTGTTGAGCTGGTCTTCTGGTCCAATCTCAGCTATTGATATTGGTATCCTTACCCCCTCAGCTAAACTAGCAGGAGGACGGAATGCAGTGTCACTGCCTTCGAGTGGTTCTTCTGGGAATGCCCCGGGGACCTCTGTAATGGTTCTCTCCTGCCCAATAGGCAGCATCGGGGTATTCTCTGGTATCGGCCAAAATATTGGTTCAGGCGTCTTCGCGGGGGACGGCTTGCCGGCATCCTTAGATAGTGATTCGGGGTCTCGCCGAGGATATCGAATATTCTCTTCATCCGAAGATTCTTCATACTCCACCTCTTTCGGAGCGATACGCCATAGATCAATAGTAGGAATCGTTGCTAACTAGCTTGGTAAGCCCTCGATCCCATCGAATCTTCTGGTCTCATCGAAGATAACGTCTCTTTCCTGACGTACCACGCCCGTGGCAGGGAACCAGATCTTCTAGATATTACTAGCTACATAACTAACCAGATAACCCAATTGAGCCCTCGAGGCCATCTTATCTTTCTTGGCTAGGTGACGGTCGCGCACCCATGCTGCACAGCCATATATGCGGAGGTTCGCAAGGTTTGGCCGAATCTGCTCTTCAGATTTGGCCGACATTGCTTCTACCCATGGGATAACAGTCTGACCGTCTTGGAGCATGGTTAGTGTCCGATTCAGGATATATCCTGCTGTTTCTACTGCTAATGGCTATAGTGTTTTCGGCAGATTCGCGTCAATGAGTAACGCTCGGGCGACTTTAATAATAACACCTCCAGCTCTCTCGATAAACCCGTTCTGTTTAGGTGTGCCGACCACGCTGGTTTCCTATACAATCCCTTCTTCTGCAAGCTAATTCGCAAAGGCTATATCGAGCGATTTCTCGTTATCACTCTTGAATACTCGTATATGTATACCGAATTGGTTCCGGCAGGTTGCAATTGCATCGAGTACTGCCTTCCTGTAGCTATCTTTGGTGTTATGGGTCTTTATCAGATGAAATCGTATACCCTCGAGGTAAAGATGGGTAATCCATTAGTGGCTATTGAATGCAGGTTCCACCTGCATAACGTCAAAGTAAATGCGGCCAAACTTGCCGTAGACCTTTGATCTTTCCGCTGATCGTCGCGAAATCTGACGCTAGGCTTGAGTCTGCTGACATGCAGCCCATATCTCAGGATTTGACAGTGTAGTTTCCTTAGATCTTCGCTCAATCTCGATGCTATCGACCATTTCTGCGAGTCTTTCAATGCGTTGATTAGATAGATGACCCAATCTTCGGTGCTAGATCTCAGTGCTTACTGGCTTAGCCAGGTTTCTTACGCTCGCAGCGTATGAAGCGGCTAATGCAACTCCCTGCGGATTATCCGTCTCGAGGACGTACAATCGTATATACCGCGTACAAAGGGCTACTATCTCGTCCCTTTCGTTGGTTACCCCGGGCAACTTGCTGTTGAAATAGAGACCTCTCGTCTCTAGATCGGATATAGAGACTAGATTAGTGGCGAATTCGGCTGAATACCACACTTCGGGGATGATTCCTATCGAATCTTGCCCTTATCATCGGTAATGCGAATTTTAGCTCGTCCAAAACCAGTAGCTATCGCTGAGCCCTAGCCGAGGTTGATCGTCCTTCTAGCTCTATGGAAAGTCTCGAATCTTGTGCGGTCATTGCACACGTTGACGTTGGTCCTAGAATCGAGAAGCTATGTATTCCGTAGCGGTTGGTTAATAGCTGCATTCGCTACTATAGCGGGTAATTCGCTAGCATAAAAGGAGACCCGCCGAGCTCGAAGAAGGTCACATCTGAAAATGCTTTACTACACCTTTCATAACAGCAGATATGCGGTCTCTCGCCTGTGTGTGTCCGCGAATAAACCGTCAAAGCACTGCGCATAGCTCGATACGGGGGTTTTTTTTCAAGTAAACTAACTTTGCTATACTTCTCCTAGAGGCATTTGAAATTGCGCGTACTGACAGGAGCTATAACTGCGAAGTGTTCACCTACAGCCTTCATGGTACCTAAGGGACCGAGGAGAGGGGAAGAAATGGGTCGCGGATGTGCTAGGGCGGCGTAAGCTAAGAGTTAATAAGAGAAGAGAGTGGTTAAAAATCATATTCAGCGTATAGGTCGTACAAATTATTCCAAAATGGTCCAGGTCTGGACCGAACGAATAGTTGGCGGGATACATAGCATGACAAAGCGTTAGTTTAGGAGCGAGGAAATAGGGGAATTCAAGTCATACTAGATCTGGAATAACGGCCTATAGCGAGCGGGGAAAGTGGGCTAAATAGCAGTTTTCCTTTTATTAATTTATTTGTTATAAATGATTTATAATTGTCCTGTTATAAGTTAGCTAGTAAACGAGGGGATGCGCAATAGCAGTCTAGGCGGAACAGACAGGTCGAGATACGGGAGAAATAGGCGATTAGGAGGAGATTAGGGTGATGAAAGACACCCTTAGCATAGCCGAAGAAGATACATAGAAGGCTAAATTAAATAAGACGCTAGGTCTTATAAAAGAGAATCCTAAAAGGGCTAATTAGATATTAAGAAACTAGTATTCGAAGATAATAGGAAAGATAGAATAGAATTAATATTTAAATAGTACGTATAAAAGAATATATATTAATCTTAATATCAAAAAGCGTATCCTTCCTTCTAAAGGGTTCTTCCTCTTATCTCATATAAGGCCTTTCGCCAAGATCCTCTGTATCAACAAACCAAACCAATCAAACGATACAAACCAGCCAAACAAGAGAACGACACGATTAAATCAACAAAGCAAGTTCCGCCTAAGAAATCGGGCTACTAAGCACCCGTCAGCGGTTCCCCTACTACACTATTTAATATAATTCACGGGCGAGCCGGCCACACAGGCCACTATCGAATGTCGAATACAGTCACTACGCATAAGCTCTAACGCCCCCACACCCGAATATTACATAATATTCTGCCGGTCGAAATATCCGCATATGATTAACCAGGAAGCTATTATAGCATAACTGTTATGCCAAAAAGTCCCTTTTTGACCATAAAATGATCCTTGAAATTCTCTATTAGATTTTCAGTAGGTTCCTCATCTACTCTAGGCGCTATATACCATGACTTAGTGATCAGTTTGATAGGCGGTAGAGCCTTAGTACGGGCGGTAGTGTAGGCGTATCTCGAGGGGTGTTAGGACTCTTGCGTAGTAATTGTATAGTATAAATTCGCTTTCACCAGGTAGCCGAAGGAGTCCGCTGAACTCTAGAAGATCCAGCTAGGATAGGACATGATTTCGACCGGTGCGAAATCGGCTGTAGTTAAGCTCCTCTAGCATTGCCGAATTCGGTCCGACAAAATGCAAAAGTACAACATATACGGTATATCCATTTCTTGTCCCCCTTGTTACCCGAAATCGCTTTAAATAATATGTTGCTTCTAATAATTGTGGTTTGTGGAGGAAATTTAAATAAAGCTTACTGTCAACAGCCGCTTAGTAATAGCAGTATCTACTACAGAATACCTCCACTAGCCAGCATAACGCCTATTAGATATCTACCTAGAGGTACAGTGACTCAAAATAGACACTAAAACCTTAGCTGCGGTGAAGCATTTTATACTAGTAGAACCTACCAAAGAAACACTTGACTTTGTCAAACTAGCGTGCATCGATCTCAACGAGTATAATAAAGGTCCCGCGGCTAAGGCTAAATTGGCTGAGAAAATCCACGACGCTATAACGACACAAGGATTTTTCACCATCATTAATCATGGAGTTAGTGAGGAAGAGATCACTCGGCAAGTTGACATCGGGCATCACGTCATTACTAATACCTCCATAGATGAAAAGCAAAGGTATATTGCGCCTATGATCGAACAAGGGTTATACCACGGCTTCAAACCGTATAGTCATTAGAGAACCTCAGGCGGTGTTCGAGACAGAGTAGAAAATTTCAATATTTACCGAGATATAACGCTCCGCGAACAGCTATCTACCCTGTTACCGTACCAAGGCGAGGTACGGCGGTTTATCGACTTTATGCACACGGAGATCCTCTTCAAGATCTTACGCCTTTTTGCCATCGCATTAGAGATCGAGGACGAGGACTTCTTCGTCAGACTCCATAGTTACGAGAAACATAACGAGTCCTGGCTTCGATATATGGAATATTTCGATGAGTATACTACGGAAGAGAGAAAACAGACTAAGGGAATATGGCTAGGTAGACACTAGGATTTCACTAGTCTGTCTTTCCTCTTTAGTCAGCCTATAACATCCCTTCAGGTTCGAGACTACGACAACAATTCGGAATGGAGATATATAGAATATATTCCTAGGGCCATCATTGTAAATGCCGGAGAGACTATGTTGTGGTAGACTGGAAATTACTTCAAAGCAGCGATTTACCGTGTCTTTGAGCCTCCAGCAGACTAGAGAGGCCATAATCGATGTGGCGTATTCTACTTTTGCGTTCCGAATGATGATATTATTATTAATACTTTGCTGGACGAGAGTCCAGTTTTGAGAAAGGCTGGTGTTACAATGGCCTATGCTCTAGAAGATACCCCAACATCGAAAGAATGGAGTAATAGGAGAATTAAGATCACAGGGCGTAACGCTGTCTAGGAGAAGAAGGGAGGTGACGAAAAGGTAACAACTGAGAAAGTCGGAAAAGTTGTTACTAAGTGGTTTAGATAGCTCAAGCTTTTGCAGTCTTAAAATATTATATTGTTAGGCTATTAATGGTTATTCGTGAAGATAGAAGGGGCAAATTGCTCGGGTTAGATAGTGAATGATATATGGCCGGTGGAACATTTGCCGATTCATCTTTCTATAATTCTTGTAACCAAATAACGTGGAGGAATATAAGCCGGATAGTATTGAGAAACTAGAGTATTAACAACGCGAAATTTTAGATGGTATTGATTATATATACCCGTAAGCGTGTCCCTTGCTTTACGGAAATTCAAAACACACGTTCTTTTGCTAGTAATAACATGACTTGTATCACGGCGGAAAAAGCTATATAGTCTACTACGCATAAAGTAACTTACTTTAGCAGCATCATCAAAGATGCGAAATCCGTACTCTCAAGGCTTCCAATAAGTTTTGCACACCTTCTAGGAACTTTCCTTGCTATAGATAGCCTGACTGAGACATATAAACTTTCGCCTCACTCGTCTCTTCCAATCGAAGGGACTTCCTTCTTTCCTATAGGGAAGATAATTTCTTCCTCAAGTACCAGCACGTCTTTGAACGTTACCGTTATCTTGGTTAGGTTATGATTCCTCGATTTAGCATCTGGTTCGCCTACACAACTCTTGCACTCCCGAGTTATATAAATCGCCTATCTAACTTGTGATACCCTTATTACCATGCTATAGCGGTCTAGAGGTAGGAGCTAAATTAGGTATCGACGATGTATAGTGGATAGATCTTATTAGGAGCCAGGACTCCTATAATAGATGAGTACGAATTTAGCAAGCTAATCCAGACCTACTCTAGTACACTATGACCCTCGTGCTCTACGTGTATGTTTACAACTATCTCAATATAGCCGGTGTTATCCTGCAGGCCGGGGATAGCTTGCAGTCTGTCTCTAGGAATATTCAATCGTGACCTAAGTAACATTTCGATCGTAAGATATCTGGATTGTCTTAGTAGTTGTGCAACAGT